AATTATTATCTTCGATTTTTTGTTTTGATGCAAGATTTTCCAATATTCTCAACTAAGGGAAGTTGACACAAAAAAAGAGTAAGGTGAAGAAAAACTGACATACCCTTTCGAGAGGCTTTCTTTTTGAATCTTTCTAAAGTATTTTCAAAATTCATAGCTCTTGTAGTCTGCAGCAGAACGCGCTTATTTGATTTTCCAAAGCAAGATATTCCGCATAATATAGTTGACGTAAGATTTAAATTGGAAGCATGTGTAACAACTGGCACACTGTATGTTGGTGTTGAAGTATTTCATTACAACAAAAAGAGTGTTAAAAGGATTGCTGCCACTACCTCGCGCTTCTTTGAACCTTTAAAGGACTTTTTTTCGCTACAGAGATGTAGCAGCGTGCGTCTGTGCGTGTGCATTTGGATGAAGTTCTAAGTTCTAACTTAGCGCCTTATCAATCCGTCTGCTGATTTGGAAAGGAGGTCAGATAACGAGGGCACATATAAAAGGAGCTGAGGTACAGTACTGGTATAGGTGGTCTGTCCACAAACATCTCGTTGTGTTATCTTCTAAGGTCAGTATCTGGTTTCTAGGATTTGGTGACATTCTGATTGGTTCCGTTTACGAACTATACCCTAAGTCTTGTTGTTTACGTCTAAGGGGACGATTACTTATGGCTTCAACTTTCCAGGCTCTGACGAAACTGCCGAAACGTTGGCGTAAGCCAATGAAGATCAGAAACAATCTTGGTCACAAACAGTCTAGCTCAAGTGTTGAAAATGCCAAGATTCATGATAGACCTCGGCGACAGGTCTCCGCAGGGCAAGCTGGAATTCGTTTTTGCGAAAAAAGCAAAGGGAAAATCGTATGGGATCCGGAGAGGAGGCTGGAGTTTAAACTCAATTATGACTGCTTTTTCCACAACAAAAATGTAGAAGCTCCCCTCCCCCTGGTTCCTAGCTCGGATGTTCATGCATGCGGCCTTATTCCGTCTTATCCAGTACTTAATTCAGTGTAATTCCACACAGACTTGAAGGCCGTTCAAAAACCTGCTCCAGCAAAGGTTCAATGTTCGTTTCAATGGG